TAGTAATAGAACACTAAGAATTATTAGTTTCCATTAATAATCTCTACTCATTTGATTTGGAAAACTCTTTTTTTGGTGTTTGAAATCTTAAACATTTCCCTTTCCTCCTAGAACGCTGCAAGTCTGGCTCTTACTGAGTTGGCAGCTTCTTTATTGATGGTATTTTGGTTACAGAGAAAGGTTCAAGTTTAGTCCACTTCAGTAGAGTTGGCAGACTCCTTAGTTATGGAGAGGATGACTACTGCTTTCTCCACTAAGACAAATTTAGATCTAGATGCTGGGCTGAAAACTTGCAATTGTTCAAGCTTACATTAATCTAAATTTTAAGGGGAAAAAAACCCAAACCAAACCAAAAAACCCCAGTTTTGTTCATTTCATTGGTACTTCATTAGCAGATCAATCACCTTTGCCAAACCCTGCAAAACCACAGTTAAATGTTGGCAGCCTAAGACCTATGGTTCTGCATACAAAAGAACATGCTGAATGAGTCTGTTATATTATTTTCATTCTTCCCTCTTATCTTCGCTCTTTTCTTATCTTTACCCTTTTTATGGAGCAGTCTCTGAAAATGTCATCTTATTGTCCTGTTACATACTCCATCTTAGTTTAGAGAGGAGCAGTAGTAGAAAGTTTATAATCCTACAGCAAGGACTAGTTGATTCAGGAAAATTGTTTATCTCCTTCCTTTGAAATTCACAGAAGTTTTCTGTTTTGTCAGCAGTATATTTTGTAACTCATATGTGAACATGTATCACAAGTTTTGCTTTATGTGCAGTCTGAAGAACATAAGGCTAAAAAACAGTCACAAAGACCAAGCTTCAACTGTCACAGCTATAGTTTAAACTCTAGTTTGTTGGCCAGGTCCAGAAACTCAGAAGAAATTTACTTCAGTCAGAAGCTGAAAATAACTGGTTAAATATATCTGACAAGCCTCCCACTATTTATGGTGCAACGAAGGATACAAATCCTGCCAGGAAGATTTCACCCCAGCTGTAACTACTGCATTATTAAGAACACCCCCTCCTCCAACCAGACCCCCCAAAACCAGCACTACAATTCCATTATCTAAAACATGTTAAATCTAATTAGAAGAAAATTAAGGACCATGATGAGTGTTATAATTTACTTAGTCTATCCAGTTCTGGTGCTATATTTAGATGAGTGAAAACAAAAAAAAAGAGAAAGAATTGCTGCGAAAAAATAGTTCTCATCTGGTACACTTGCTTGCTACTTTTGAGTCAGTTGTAAGAAAAGAAAAAATCCTTCTTTACGATCAGAGGAAGAATTCTCATTGCATAGAAACAATGTATACAGAAAACAAACACTGCAGGTCTCTATAAAAGGAAATATACACTGTGTGAATATATACCCTCCTTGCATCTTAACTGATTCCCCTAATGAAGTTACCAACTACTCACAGCGGCCTCCTCAAGAATTTAGGTTTTATTGCTTCCTTCTCCCCTTGAACCAAACTAACAATAGCTCACTGAGTCCCACCCAGGAAACAAGAAATCAAACTGGTATTCTCTATAAAACACTTAGCTTCTTAAAAAAGACCTCTCAAGAGTGGTCATACAAATATTTTCATGGTGCTCTACTCCTATTTGAAATTTATGTTTGAAGACATAATTCCAGGACATGCTATGAACCAGTGCACATTCTTGACTTGCTCTGTGGCTCTAAAGAAACAATATTAATTTCTGAATCTCTTTGCTACTGATTTTTGCATAAGTGATGACAGCAGAATTCCTAAAAACAAACTAAAAGCAGAGGGAAGAATGAATAGTACCTTAGTTTCATGATTTTGTTATTTCAAGACAATGACTGACAACTGTCAGTGCACATACACTTCACATGCACAGATTTTTAAAAACATCTTCAAAAAAATTCTCCCCTCCTCCCAATTTTGAAAGTCTCTCAAATCTCCATGTGTGTTCCAGACCTCCTTGAATTCCTATGCAAGAGTAGGAATACATAAGTTGCAACCCCCATCCCTCCCCAGATTTTCAATCTGAAGTGAAGCAAGTGGAGAATTTGGAACACAAATGAAAAAGCCTGGATTTATAATGGTGAAAATGGACTTATAATGTGAAATTCTTGGCCATTCTGCAGGTTAGTAGCAAGCAATTAGCCTCTCAAGATGGTGAAGTTTCAGCTCTCCTAGTTGAAAACTGTTGCTGAAGGTGACAAGAGCAATTGCACTGTGACCTCTGTTTTAGCATATATGGATACAGACTGACAAACAGTAAAGAGTAGCTCCAGGTTCCTATATTGAAAGAATCAGAAATTAATTAATTTCTGAAGGTGGTGGAAAATGTTGCTGCAAATTTGAAAATGTAGGCTTTGATGTTTATGAGTCAGCTATGTCACAGATGATACTCAGCTCTTCTTGCAGTGCCCTAAGATTTCAGGACTTACCCATCAACTGATGGGTGACAGTCTAAACAACTGTACTTGTTGAATACTCAGTTCCACAGGACCTAGTGTAATCCAGTAAACTCCTAGTACAGTGTAGGTAACTTGTTTTCTCCTGGTGCCAAGCTTGGCTTTTGGAAGGAAGTGTAGAGTAGAATGACTGGATAGGACAAAATTCTGAGATTGCTTCAGGAAAGAACTTCAACTGTGATTGCAGTTAGTATGTTGAGCAATTGGGTTTAGTGTACAGTGCTAACTCACTCTACAAAATGATGGCCAATACAAAGGATACTTTTAGAGGAATCGAGGAAAAGGAGATGCTATCAGAAAACTTGGCTTAGGTGCTAGGATACTGAAGTTAGGCAACTTGTATACATACATACAATTAATAAAATACAATTCTGCTGAACTGAGCAAGGTTACAACTTCTAAGTATAGTAAACAATGAAACATTTGTAGATAGGGTGGAAACCTGGTGCAGAGAACCTCTCCCCAGGAAGAACCTGTTTCACTTGGAACAACAGGTAGTTGCAGTAGATACTTTTATGAAGTATTTAGCAATACTGGGGAAAGCAGTGACATTCAGATAAATGACTGTCAGTTGAACTACTTCTGTCAGGATTGAGCTATGACAATGACTGTGACCTTACATCTTAATTTTATTAAGACTTGCACAGAAAACACTTACCCAGGATATTCCATCCATCCCTAATGGAGATCAGTTCATCATATGATAGATGTGACTAGTGCTGACAAAACATGCTGTGCTTGGCTTTTGGAACAGGGAAAGGGAGGTGCAGAGCACATAAACTTTTAGGAGAATGTGTGAATAAATTATTTTTCAAAGTGCCTGAAAGAACCAGTTTAAAGTCCATGTATGTACTGGCAGTAGAAACATTTTATTTTAACTGCCACAGCAGTAGCATATACACAGAATGGGCTATGGTTACTCGTCCCTTTATGCTCTTTAACCTTTCTGGTTAGCTGACCAGAAAACCCTATTCAAAATGTTCTCTCATAGGTAGGAGATGTTGACAGTAGCTATGTTCTCAAAGGACTACAATGTGTTTTAGAATACTTGAGTTTTATTTCAGTTACAATGTTTCCCTATTCCCTCAGGAAATCAATTTTGATGTGAATCTGTATTTTTATTACAGTCCCCTTATTTTGATGGAAAAATTAATCTCTTTTTTGTGTCTGCCAACAACAGGAAATGGAAAAATTAATTAAACCCTTAACACTGAAAAACAGAGGAGAGAAGCACAAGTCTAATATTGCTTCTAAGAGATCTCAGAAAACCCTCATTTATTCAATAATATTGGTACCTAGCAAGTGAAAAACAGGTATTTAGCTTCATTAATTTATTCTAGGAGATGAAAGATCAAAAGAAAAAAAATCATAGAATCACAGAATTGCAGGGGTTGGAAAGGACCTCAAGAGATCATCTAGTCCAACCCCCCTGCTAAAGTAGGTTCCCTACAGCAGGTTGCACAGGAAAGTGTCCACGCGGGTTTTGAACATCTCCAGAGATGGAGACTCCACAACTTCTCTGGGCAGCCTGTCCCAGTGCTCCGACACCCTCACAGCAAAGAAGTTTTTCCTTGAGTTTGTCTGGAACTTCCAGTGTTCCAGTTTTTGCCCATTGCCCCTTGTCCTGTCATGGGCACCACCTAAAAGAGCCCAGCACCATCCATTTGGCCCCTGCACTTCAGGTATTTATAGACATTGATAAGATCTCCTCTCAGGCTGCTCTTCTCCAGGCTGAAGTGTCCCAGCTCTCTCAGCCTCTCCTCACACTGGAGATGCTCCAGGCCCGTCATCATTTTTGTGGCCCTCTGCTGGACTCTCTCCAGAAGATCCCTGTCTTGAACTGGGGAGCCCAGAACTGGACACAGTACTCCAGATGTGGCCTCACCAGGGTAGAGTAGAGGGGGAGGAGAACCTCCCTCGACCTACTGGCCACGCTATTTTTAATGCACCCCAGGAGACTGTTGGCCTTCCTGGCCACAGGGGCACACTGCTAGCTCAAAAAAACCAATAATAACTAATATCTACAAGAGTAACAGGAGATCACTGTTAGGTGTGGCTGAAGTGTAATTCTGGCAGTTTGGGTGTCCCCAAATTGGCATCCTACAAATCTTGGTTCCATGTGGCTCTACCCCTCTTTCAAGGCCCCCATGATAAAATAAGAGAGGGAGAACAGAACTGTATCTTCACTAACCAGTTCCATATCAAATAACCTGGGATTTCTCCAATGCAGAAACTTACCTAAAATTAATGAGCATGCTAATTACAACACCCATTATTTAAAAACCAGACAATTTCCAGTAAAGGACAGATGTATCTTCTGCATGTTTATTAAACTTGTTTATTTTAAAAACTGGAATTAGAATGCAAAATTCACTTCACAGCTTCTCAAAAAGCCATTCATGTGTCATTTCTTATTCTTAAGGAACTACAATGAATCAAGTCTTCCATGTAGAGAATAATAAATAGTAGTAAAACCACATCTCTTTAAGAGTTGAAGATAGAGCCAATATAGATAGGTAGCTGATAGAGCACCAGAGAGCAGTAGGAAGACTTACAGTGTATACAGTGTTCCCCAAGAGCAGGTAATCTGAAGTTTTACCATTGCTGAATACGGTACCTGGAGAAGAAAATAGTGATGAAAATAAAAGCATTTAAATATCCACAATAGGACTGTATATATATGTGTGTGTGTGAATATATATATATATATATGTAAAATCTTATTTTTGGTACAAAAGAGATTGTAACACTTCCTACAGGGAGGATACAGCATATTTCACCTTGAACTGTATTGAACAGTAGAGATCTATAACTTTTATAATTTTCAGTCCTTTAAAACTTTCAGCGACTTCGGGAATTATGCTAGAAACAGGAGTTTTTGGTAACATCCTATACCAATATGAGTAATATTGTATTCAGTAACAATTCAGTTAGAGTGACTTTTAAGTTCAGAAATACAGTATCTTACCTTCAGAAAAGTATGAAATATAATAGCCATAGTGTACATTGATTGTAACACATAAGTAAACAGAAATCTTGGAGACTCAAGATTTTCACAGATTCTGATATTTTTGGTACAGAAACTTACTTATCTTTGCTCTTACCCATATTTCTGAGATTCAGTTTATGTAAAAATATAAAATAGAGTCAATTTTAATTCTTGAGATGCTTGTTATTTAAAACATTTTCAAAATTTACCCAACTCAAATCTGTGGATTCATATAAATACATATCCATTTGGCACATATCGATAGACATAAGACACACACAGCATTTATGTGAAGAGTCAGTGCCCTAAGGAGATGCGTTTGCATAAAAATCACATCTAGTACAGTTCTTAAATTCAGAATTCTGAAGCACTGCATTTATGCTTATTTAACAGAACTTATTTTAGGACTATTGCTACAGCACGGGCTTTTCTGATCCCAGTTCTGTGAGATTTCTTGGCCGACATGGGACAATACACAACTGAACTATCTAGAGGGAATTTCTCAATTAGAAGTATTGAGCTTGCTAAATTTTTACATGTTCATTTTAGAAATGCTTTTAGCACCTGAGATTGTTCATTAACTTCAACTAAACCAGAAACACTCTGCTGTAGAGATTCTAATCACTGGGGTATTGCTTTTTACTGCCATTATATAAAGAGATATAAAAATATAGTAAAATATAGCATGTAGTAAGGAAGGATAAAAGTACAAGACAAAAAAACCCAAGCAAACAAAAAAACCCACTAATGCTGAGAGAGTATAAGCAAAGATATTTTTAAAAAGCTGTGCTGGGGGAAAGAGAATAAAGGTGTTTGGGTTTTTTTTTTTGGGCGGGTGGGGATGGGTTTAAAACTTGTCTGACTGGGTTGGCCAGAGGAAGGTGACAAGCTGATTAAAATAATCTGCACTTGAAAACCATTATTTTTTCACTACCCTCAGCTAGCACATGGTATATTAAATACTGCTAATTAAGTATGTTTTCATATTTGTGTTGAGTTTTTCCAGCCTTGATATCACTTTTACACATGCTTGAAATTCATTCATTAATTCAATGCTCCTTTCGATAAGCTTTTCAGGACCTGCGAGGCCAGTTTATCACAGAAAAAAAAAAATCTATTTATTGATATTCTGGAAGAGACAGCAGGTGAAAGTTCACATAAAAAAATCAGAATAAAAATGCTTGCAAGTAGTCCTCCTTAATCTAGTCCTCTCCCATTTCAAGATGAAGAGCTCAACGGTTGCCACCTTAGCTCTAGTGATACTGGTTGCATTCCTGGCACTTCTCCAATTTAGCTTTCTCCCTGGACAGACTAGCACACCACTAAGGACTACAAGAGCTCTGGAAGCCTGAAAACAAAGCTGAGACCATGGCTCATTTTAAAGATTATACAAAAGAGGGAGCAGTTGGTGGATTTACTTGTACATATGTTTGGCTTCTGCCATTTACTGTTATATTGACAAAGTTGCATGAGAAGAAACTTCTGCAAAGATTTATGTCCTTGTCATTTTTCATATCCACATGACAGTACATGGTGTGCAAAGACTCTAGTCTTGTGTACTGTACAATGGTTATATCACATGGAGCAAATTCTGACAAATCTATACCTGTGTTCTGATGTCATGTTTCTCAGTAGACTCTACTGCAACACATGCAGTTTGAAATTTTCCACTCACAGACAAGAAAGAGGTGGACAAGTAAGACTAAAGAGTACACAGGAGAAAATGCTCAAAGAAAAGGCCAGACTGTGAGCTCTGAGAGATTTTAATGGTCTTCAAGATTTGATTTTCAATGTTCTAATAAATACCTGCTCAAACATGCACTCCGCTGCTTTACAATACATATCGAGCAGTAAAGAGCATAATGAGGATAAAACAGAGCAATAGGCAGGCAGCTAAGTCTGTTCCCATCAGTCAGAGTGCTGGGACTCAGCACTCTCATGCACAAAGCTGAGCTATCTCCCAGTCTTTCCATCCCTCCTTTCGTATCTCAGGATCTTCCTGCGCCACCTCTTTGCTAAGAGAAGGTGGAGGCTGAGACCTGTTTGCAGAAGTTCCTCTCTCTGGTGGATCTGACACTCATCAGCTCCTCCCTAGGAAACTAATATCATATTTCCCTTTCCTCTTTGCAGATACAGCCATCAGAGATTGAATTAACAGCACCTTCCATCCTGTGCTCATCTCCCCTCCATGCAGAACTCTGTGCACCAGTTGGACCCACGGCAGGTACTGGTTATACCGCCCACCATGGGCCCAATCCCCAGGTCCCAGTTCTGCTCCCCTTACTCACCTGGCCTTTGTCTAGGAATGAAAAAGGAAGACAGAAGGCAATTTGTTCAGACTTGTAGAGGCCACTTGCCAGCAGGTCAGTTCTAGCCCAGGGGCTGTGAGCACAGGCCTGCGCTACAGTGCTCTCACAAATGCTCATGCAAGTATCTCAGCTTTGGCATTCACACATGAACTCTATCCCGCATCACAACATATACTCATTAAACACTTCTGCATCATGTAATGCATAAATCTCTCGCGTGGATTGTCTATAGCTTTAAATGGGGATTTTGGTTTCAATTTGAGGTTGTGGGTTTAAAGTATGCATTCACATTTTGGGACCTCTTTCCTCCTGGGCTGTCTAAACCTCTCCAGTGCAAACTGAGCTCACATCCAGCGTGATGTGAGTGGCCCTTCAAAGAAAACAGGCCACTACCTACTTCCCTTTACCCATCAGAAGTCACTGAGTATAAAATACTCTGCAAAAAGTTCTCCCCTTAACCTTTTGAGGCACAAGCAGCTGTGACCGCCTCACTATCTTGTCTCAACAGTTCCAAAATGTCCATGAGAATATTTCTGTCCCCTGTGCCAGGGTAGACTGCCTGGCTGTATCAGGGAAACTGAGCAGACTACTCATTTCACAGAAAAGCTGCAGGGTACACACTTTTTTTTTTTTCCCCGTCCCCACAAAGTGGAAGCAAAACAAAACCCCACCCCTAACAGTCCCACAAACTGGAAGCAGTGCTTTCAAGTTCCCTCTAAATACAGCTTTCCTCCCAGCTGTCCAGTTCGCTTCTGCAACTCAGTTGCATACACAACAGCTGAACGAGAAGAGTGACAGGACTGAGCTGTCCAAGAAGTCCCAGTTTCCTCTGTCACAAGCCTCCTCACACAGATGTAAACTAATGGGTTAGTATGCCCTTGAACTAACAGGAGAGGAGGTATACACATCAGCAATAAAAGTATACAAAATGTAATAGACAGTGTAAGGGTTAGTAGTGATTTAGGATCTTGCAGGTATTTACTGTGGTGGTGTATTATATTAAAAAAATAGCATAATTAAATAGCAATCTTTTTCTCCATCTTGTTTCAATTTACTCAAAACCTATTTGTATCATTTCATGTATATGTACATAATATTACTCCTATTTTTAAACAGATTTTAAATAACGCATTTTAAATATACTGCATCTGCTCTAGTTCTAGAAATGGCATACTGAAATTTAATCACACAAAACTGTTAGTATTTATAAAGCTTTCCTAAGTAAAAAGTAGGTACTTAGATATTTTGTACCTTTCAACATTTATATTTTTATTTTTCGCAATACTTACCATGCTGGAGGGCTTTTAGTGGAAACCAAAACAGAATGAATGAGTGGAAGAGGCCATTTAAACAATGAACCCAGAAAACCTAAGGGAAAACAGAAAATCCATGAGAACCATTTGCAATAAACTAGCTCTGTGAACCCTGACCTTTCTTTTTATCTATGTGTTAGATTCACAAAATGTGTTTCTGTCAGGCCACCACTGTGAAGCAATATAACTGACAGGCACTTTCTGCCTCTTAGCTCTTCATGGGTCATTTGTTTATTTTTATGTTTTGAAAAAAGTGTGTATTATCTCCTCCTTTTAATTTCAAATCACAAGGGAAATTAAAATGTATACATATGGGAATATCATCGGAAAATTAAACTAAACCAGACAACTGGAACTACTGCTACATTCTAAGCAGGGAATTAAAAAGGACTCTAGCTTTTACAATTTACATTTTGTGTAATAAGAAATGTGGACAGCAGAACAATCAAAACCTGGGTTTTACATACACCTACCTACATATTTCTGCATACAAGGAATTAAAAAAAAGGACAAATAATAGTATCTTCCTTAGATTTCTCCTTACATGCTCCATTCTTGAAGTGCATGGCTTCATCATATTAAACTTCCTTTAATATATTTGCTAAATAATTCAAACTGTAGTTTCAAACTTATTTTCATTTGTAAAATATGCCTTCTGCAAAGAACTGTATTAAGGACAAACAACCTATTGATGCTTTCCATAATATATTGTATAAAGACATAACAAGACTTAATCAAAAATATGTTACCCATTTCCTTCAGTATAGCAATCATGTTTTTTCGTTAACAACTCTTTTGACTATCATAACCTTTATTGTAGCTAACTGATGTGTATTATGAGTGTTAAGGCGCTCAGACAATTGAAATTAAGTTGCCTGCCTCACAACATTTTCCACAATGTCTCGAAGTCTTTTGTCACATTATACAACTACACTAGGTTGTATGATCCAATTTACACTCCAATACTTTGCACATTTGAACTTGTGCTACTCATTAACCTTTGTCTCTCCTTCTTGCTATGTCATTACCAGAAGATTTTATTTGACAGAAAGCACAGGTGGGTGCAAGAAAAATTAGTTCTACTTTTCCATTTTCCTGACCAATTCTTATTGTCACATGCTAATCCTTTAACCTCTGTCATGACCTCATAACCTTTGATCCCTTTTACCATAACAAACATCTGCATCAACATTCAAAGCAGTAATGTTTCCAAATCTTTAACACCAACTATTCAACGTATATAGGTGGGAATTTTGTAGCTGGGAATTTTGTAGACATTGACTCATAGCAAGTGTTCTATGGGAATAGCCACAGAATTTCCAATGAAGTCAACAATACATCCGAACAATAAATACAATATTACAGGCTTATTTAAAAACAGAAAAATCCAACAATTGTAACTCATGACTTACATTATTTATTAAAATTATCACAACACAGTAGTGTCTGTATCAATGGAACAAGAAAAGTCTGATATTTGTAAGGCATTCACAGCGACACAAGAAACTATTTTCCCTAGTTTCCTTAAAACTTTCAGGTTTGTTTTTGCAGGTGAAGGGATGAAGTGAGCAAGAAGGAGAAAAATCTCATATGCTTCAGTGAACAAAGATAGTTTGGGAAAAAGAATTCTATATAGATAGGGGTACTTGAGTTTTACAGCAGAAGCAGCACAGCTATGACAGCTAAGTATGCTGTATCAGCTCCGCACATCTACTCGACCATGTAGGCATTGTTAATTCAATGACAGATTGAAAATGTCCCCAAGTTCAACATACAATGACATCACTTGAAATGTCCAAATTATATGTAGAAAAATCAAATAAAATCAGAAGGAACTCTTACAAATGTCACAGTATTCATGAAATTGCAGATTCAGGAATGAGTTTAAGTTTTTTTTAAAAAGAGATTATTTATGGACAAACCTGTAGAAATGGTGTATATTTTATATATTAGAGAGTCCTACTACTTTTACTAGTACTCTCTTTATTAGGGAGTCTTTTACGACTTCTTGTGCTAGTCTCCCCAAGATGAATGTTGCCCACTTCCCACCAAAAGTAGCCTCAGATTTCTTCTGATCCACCCTGACACATTCTTAACTGACTTCAAGTATTTTCTCCCAAAACTCGAAATTAAACCATAAAATCACAACTCCAAATTGACAAAGAATAGTACCAAGTCCCTCCCTCTGCAAATCCAATGACAGTTCTTATTGTTCTCTGCAACACTTCTCCACAGGCTTCAGTAATCCATTTCCATATAACAGTACAAATACATACAGCCCAGCAACAGAGAGGTCTAATCACTTCTGCCTATACAAGACAGCTTTATTACCAGGAGAGAAAAAAAAAAAATTGGGCTGAAAAAAAGAAAATGCTTGCTGTCCATTTCAGTACTTGCTTAAAGTGAATACATATGTTTTACAGCATTCAGACAAGTGGACAACTTGAAACAGTAGTAAAAAAAATCCTGTCCATTTTTAGTTATGAGCAGCATAGAATAAAAAGGATAACTATACTGAAGTCCTACTAATTTCTGCTTTAATTATGTTTGATTTTTTTTTTTACTCTACCTTGGTGTTGAAGTCCAGTGCATTTTGGGAAGTCTTGTATAACTCAGGATATTTCAGCATGTTTTCTTTTCGGCAAGATCTCTCAAATATTCCAAGAGTTAGTGGAGGCATTGCTGTAAACATCTAGTAGATGCATTAAAAAAAACCCATATTGCAAAACTTCAGAGAAGGACTTGCTTAAAGATTGCTTACTCAAAAAACTTTCATGATTATGGTTGAAAATAACTGAAAACATACAAATCATCTTACCACATTGTAAAGACCTATACACCATCTCTCAAAAAGAATTTGTCCAGAAAAACCATTGACAAATGCAAACCAGATCTGAAAAAGAGGAGAACTGTACATTACTCAAATGTCTTGCAAGGTGTGAAAAATACATTTTTGCTCAGCTTTACAGAAAGGGGTATTATGTTTTTCAGTATAGCATGCAGCATAACTGCTTTCTTCTATTTCTTCATGCTTATATTAGTTCAATGATTAGTTCAAAGATTGAATCAAAGTGGAGAAGCAGCACGTCTGATGAATCTTTATTAACAAGTTAAGATTGAAACTATATTGCCTACTACAAAAATAAACTGTAAGGTGACAGAAGTTAGGATCATCTAAACAACATTCTACTCAATTTAAGACTCATGTTTTTCAAGTCAATTTTTAGATGCTATTTTGCAGATACTTTGCTACACTTCACATTTCATTTGACTTTATTATGGAAGCATAAATTGCTACAATCATTATGTATGTTTATCAGTGTGTACCTGGGCTGGCCTCCAGGTGATGAGATTCTATGACAAAGCTCAGGTTTTTTTATCATGTTGTATAATGTTTGAACATGTTTGTGAATACTTTGAGATGGAAAAAACCCTGAAATTATCAACTATTAACACTAAAAATGGGAAGTAAAATCCAGCCAAAATTGCTATTTTTTCAACCAATAAATGAAAAGTAAATAGGGTTTTTTGGTGGCACTTAGTGGAGCAAGATTGATACATTCAGTCATGAATGTTAGAGACTGCAATACAGAGATACAGAATACATTGAATTTTCTGAAGCCTTACACTGCTAAATTTCTTTACTTTGGTTGATTGTAACAGCAACGAGCACTATTTTCTAACCTTTCAGTCTATTCACTGAAAAGAAAATGGTATTATTTTATGCCAGTTGAATCAGAATTTTATAAGCTCTTGTGTATTTTGATTTTTGACTTTTGAAATAGGAGTTACAATTTAACTGTGATGGATTTAGCAGACGTTTGTTAGCAGCAGTTTCTCAACAGTTGACTATGAGGGAGCGAGACAAGTGCATAATCAGGTGTTCATTACTGAACAATTAAGTACACACTCAACATCAGCACAGTTTTTTGGATGCTTTATGAGCTAAATGTGTGAATGTAATCCAGAACCTCATCACCACTGAAGGATACAAGTTGTGGTTCTTGACTGTCTTGTCTCTTTTCAACCTTCTAATTATACATAGTTCCTACATTATTTTACTCCCAAACTAGAAAGACAGCTAGGGAGATAGCTCTTGAGAGAGGAGTGACAGACACTATTATGGGATTTATCCCTTAATTTTTTTTCCTTGTTTGTATCAAATACTGGAGTAAATTTTAGAATTCTTAATTTGAAAGGGTTAGGGTGGTGGAAAAGGATAGTTTTAATAGAGAATATGTGACTCAGTAGCTGGGCATAAATATGCATACATCTCATTGCTGGTAATTTCCGACAGAGTTTAACAAAAGTACTACTCTCTAGGAAGAAAATAAAATAGCCTGCAAGTAGACATATACTTGACCCTTCATAACAAAAGAAGTATATGGAAAGAACATTCACTTTCTGTTGTGATTTAACCAGCAGTCAAAATGTCATAAAACTAATTTAAAAAGAAGGGCCTAAATACACGTACTGACTCTATTCCACATGCTACTTTTAAAGGTAAGTGGTGTTAAGCAACACTTGAAAATGTTTTGGAGTGACTGTTTTAAAGAAATGCAAGTATTTAAGATAAAATTTTAATTAACAATGGAACGGCACACATACATGAAGTTGCTACCAAGCCTCTCAGAAACACCATGCATCATTTTATTCCTTAAAACTCCTGTTACTTTCAGTTTTTTGTACAGAATTTCAGTTAAAATTGTGAACTATTTAAACTGAAAACAGTTTTACTGTCTCTTTTACTGTAAATAAATCCTTCAAGGCATAGCATTAACTTCCTGAAATCTTAGCATTTACTGGTTTCCAAAGAAAGCATGCAAGTTACAGGGTTTTTAGTTCAGTTTAGTGTAATAATGAACTGGAACGTATCTTGGTCAGAGTCCTAGTTGCAAGTCAAGAAATGTAATTTAGTTGCACTCCTGGGTGCTAAGGTTCTTGTTGAATCTATCCAAAAAATGTCTGGGAAAAGAAACCTTCTAATGTGGCTAAAACCGATGCCCTTTGTAGTAGAAACACTACTATGTAGTGGAATACCAGATATACTACTTCAAGAGACAGAGGATCTTTAATATCTAAGATGAAACATTGATTTTCTACTGTTTACAATATAGTATTTGAATGTTCACATTAAGAACACCTATGGCTCAAAAATAATTAGCGAATCTAGAGGGGAAAAGAAAAAGCAGGAAGGATACACACAGCCCTCATCTCAAACTGTAAGAGAGGAAGAAAATAAGCCACCTACCTACCCTAACTTTTGAACCTTGGACCTTAGAAAATTACACTCTTAACCATACATGAAAAAACTACTATGGAGCTTACCACATCAATAGTGACCATGACAAGAAACACTTGCAACACAGTGGGAAATTTACTCATAGACAAGTGTGTTCCATCCTAATTATGATGGACAATGAAGGCAGCTGTATCTGCAAAGTAAGTTTATAGGACATGTTGTACATGATACTAATTTAGGAGCAGAACTGGCCACTTAGGGGGTAGGTCCTACTCTAACTCAACTTACTAATCCAGCACCCCTAAAAAGAAGGACAGGTGATAGGTGTCCTTAAGAAGCAATTTAGACTACACAAGTGAGGGACAAGTGAAAATTCAGACCATTTTATAGTTCAATGGCTACCATTGAAAATGAAAGATTTAGGTTCACAGCCCATCTAAAATGAGATGGGCCTCAATGCAGACCTTTGTATTTCTAAGTTTTCAAACCATATAATGCAAAGAAGTGGGCATGAGCACAATTACTTTCTGCTGTCCTCATTTTGAACTGAACTTGGTGCAGTTTGCATACGTTAAGTAAGCCATGGCATATTGAACAACAGCACCTAAAAGCTACAGCTCAGCAGCTCTGTAAGTATACACAGAAAGCCTGCTCGTGTTTGAGGACATGCATGATACAGGTCTCAATATGATCACAGGCATTCATCTGATGTGTCAGGCAAAGGAAATGAGGAACAAAATGCTAAAATTCAGTTATGGACATGAGCTGCAGAAAGCGTGTAACTCAGCACTGGGATAAAAAGGGTTTGGAGGAAAAAAATTTAAAAATTATAAAAACCCCCCAACAACCAAAAAACCCCAACATCATTCAAAGTTTATGGAAAAAAAAAAAAAAAGATTGTTACAGCTCTCTTTACTTAGTCAAATTGAATTGTTTACATAGTTATCAGTTAAATTGTTACTAACAGCCATGTTTAAGGATCTGTGACTGAACTTTAAATGTGAACTCCACACACGTGTTTCCTTCTGTTTGTGTTCTGGTCTTTTACTCTTTTGTTTTAATTTTCTCCTCCATGAAACATGAATGACCTATGCAGATCTTAAAAAAAAAAATATATTTTTAAAAATTGTAAACCTTTTTTCATTTAACATAAACCAGTTATATTATCACTAGCTACTACTAGCTAGCAGAACAAAAAGTAGGAATAGGAAAATTTTGTTCCTAGCCAAAATCAAGCCACAAAGGAGTTCTCAATCACTAGATCAATCTCAATCCCAATCATCATTATAATGTAATGACAGCCTCCTCAAAGTATGAGACTCTGCATAGGCTTATCCTATGTAAGTATTAGGCTTGGTACAGGCTTAATAATGCACATTAGCAGTCTATTAAAGTTTTCACTTGCAATTTGGAATGATGCTTCAAAATAGAACCTCTAAAGTTACTGGGACTAGTCTCACACAAAAGATGAGGCCCACGTTTAAATATCTATTGCATTAAGACATAGAGTAGAAACAGTTGTCACAGACCACTTCTACTTTCTTATGAATAGGAGTTTAATTGTCAAGAAACTCTAGGCACTGTGCAGGAGTATTAGTATAGACCTTTACCATTTTCTGAACCAAGAAAGCAATGGCACTTATTTCATATCACCCCACGAATGCGTAGGAAAAAGGCTGTATTTTAGATTAAATGGAACCTATTGCATTACTTGTTTGATTAGTACTGAGCAGACATTTAAAAATATAATATGCATCTATTAAGTAAAGGTAGGTATTTTTAGTTATTGTCAGTTAATAAAAGGTAACTTGTTTAAAGCAACCTCCAGACATGCCTTTCATAGTATTATTTTCTAAACTCCAAGACAGAGGAGGCGTGGCCAGAAAAGCTTCACAGACGTTTTCCTGATGTAGCATTTCTGCATATTAATCAGCACCTTACAAACACTCATTGAGCTCTCTGCTCCCACGCCTGATCCGTACAAAAAACTGAAAAGAGAGATTCAAGACTGGCAGTTGTCCTTTCTAGAGACATTCAATGATGAATTTCTGCCCATTCACTCACAGTATTGACAAGAGCTATTAACATTTGTGAAAGTTTTCTGAGCTGACAAACATTGGATATACAGGAATTTAAGCAGAAGTCATCTTGTCTTCCAGAGAAGGTGTATATGGTGAAACGCTTGTATACATTATACATAACAGGTCATAACCCATAAAAAATCATCTCTTTGCCCTTCCATCCACTCAGGAGGCAGAGACGACCTCTTCTAGTCTTTGTATTTTTAGACTATGATCTCTATGCCTTGCATTTAGTTTTCTTTCACAAAGAACACAAACGGTGGAATATTTATATCTGATTTAAATTACATATTTAGAATGTGTTTGCAGGTGACAATGACAGAAAATTAAGAAAAATAAAGTAGCATGTTCTGAAGCCAAACTTTGTACGTTTTCTATAAACACAAAGGATACATTAATACTATTTTTTTCAAATACTACAAGAGCTATTGCTAATCAGTACCTCTCAAAGTCAAATCATTTAATCAGATATCCAGCTTTTGAAATGCAAGATCTAAAGTCTGTCATCACTTCTAAAGCAAAAAAGGATCGTTAATGGACTTGCTTTTTCTATAGCTTCCAATGTTATGTTTTTCTGAACAGGCTATAAACTTGCTGCTACATAGATTGAAATCTAATTATGTTGATAACACAAGAGGAAAAAAAGGAAAATTTAGAAAATGTAAACAATATGCTAAGAAAAATGCACTCTTTGGCTACAAGACTTGTAGCCAAATGTTTAAAATAAAGATGTTTAAAATATTTTCAAATATTGCAACAGTATAAGATCACATACATAAATATAAAAATTGGAAATATTAACCTAATGTTTGCATCAGGTCTAACATAAATAAGGCATTTTCTTCCAGTAAAAAACATATTAAAACAGTGCAAGTTTAAGATATTAATTTGAAAATATATTAAAAAACTAGTAAAGTTAAGAATAACTATTAAGTCCATTAATGTAAAATACAGAAGACTGACCTACAGAACTTAATTTGAGATCAAGCTTTGCAACAAATTATTTTTTTTCCCACATTTTTAACCCTAAGTATCATTGTGAATATAAAGATTGAACCAACTACAAACTTAATTACTAGATACATATTTGGTTACAAGAAAGCAAGCAGCTGTTGAAAGAAAGAGAGAAACTAAATGAAGAGGGAGGGAGGGAGGGAGGAAAAAAAAATAAAATCCCATTTAAAAATACATTCAAAGTTTTAAGGTTGTGACCATGAAAACTATAGCTATACATGATGTCTTAACCATACCTACCAATAAACATACATTTATTACAGCACAGTCCTTTCATACTACTGTATTTTTCACGAGGCTCCAGTCTCCTTAAAATCTCAGGTCAGAACTACTTTCAGTAAAGTATGTATGCCTGTTCATGAACTAGAGCCTAAGGAGGCATGCTCACCCCATCAACAAGTGAAAAGTATGCAATAGTGTAACTAAGCATAGATATAAAAACCCTAAGTACTGTTCTGAACAGCAAGAGCCCTGCAATTCAACAGTGACCTGAAAAAGGGCTTCAGATTGTGAACTGGACAGTTACTGACACCAGCTCAAAGAGCTTAAGGACATACATCTCTTGGTAAATTTAAGGCTACTTGTAACTGTATTCCTTAAATACTGTAATGATAAAGACTTTTAATAAGCTAGCAGTATTATGCAACACAAGCATTCAGTACTAATATCTAGACATATGGGTCTTTTAAAGAAAAAAAAAAATCACTCTAATATTAATCAGTTTATTAAAAAGCAAGATTCAGTAATGGTAAGTATATTGACAGTTTAAATGCTTCTTTAAAATAATATATAAAGATCAAAAGATCAAAATAATAAAGTTTTTACTTTCAAGAAGTAACATTTACTGTACTGTAAAATTACCTCGATAATATAAAGGACTATATTCTTGTAGAAACAATACAAGATGCATTTAGCTACTCTGTTATAATTCCAGGCTCCATGAACCAACAACAAGTTCTTCAAATACTTGAACTGCAAAAAGTGAACAAACATAAAATCAGAACAAGCATACCTCAATATTAATCTGATATTAAACTACTTTATTGTAGTATTTTACAGTGTAATGACTTACCTGAGCAATTGAGTAGTCTGAAGAATTAGCAGCCTGTAGGCCTTCATTCCCACTAATACCAACACCAACATGTGCTGTTTGTATCATACTAACATCATTTGCTCCATCACCAATCGCTAGAGTTACTACCTTAACTTGTTTTTTAACCATTTCTACAACTTCAGATTTTTGAAGTGGTGATACCCTAAGGGGTAACAGAAAGAAAAAGCTTTAATACAGGACTTTCAAATTAATGTACTTTCAAAACATACTTTATATTCTGTGAAAAGGTAATAAAAACTGGCCAACTAACATCCTGGTCAGCAATATAGCCTTTTTACTGTCCTTTAGGCTATATGCTAAAAGCACGTTCCCACCAAAATTCATAGCAACTTTGGATTTGTTGAAGCAAGATATTAAAAGAACTGGAGACACATGGATTAAACAGAAATGTGCCCCTAAAACTAAATAATGGAAGAAGCCTCAGACTCCACCACTGCCATTATTGACTCAAAACAACTGCAGATTTTGGCATGTTTTGTTATGCTTTCTATTTTCCTCTCTGTTTTTTATAAACAAACAACTAGATAGTTAAGATACAGACATCAAAGCAAACAGGAACAAAGTAGACTACCACTATCTTAACACAACCTACACTGTCAAATTAGCGGAAGCAACTCTGAACATTGACTCGTGATCCTTCACTTTGTTTAACTGCTCCCTGTAGGCAGGTAACTTCTCCCTTGTCCTTTTCAGGGCTGCACCAATTATCTGTCATTAAGAAAATGCCTGCCCACAGTTGAGGTGAAAAATTATTCCAGGGATGACTCAAAAGCTCTATTAATGAAACTGTATCAGTTTTGGCTCCGCCTACCACTGTATGTGTCACATGTGTCCCTTCCATTTCACGTTGTGAAGGTTCTACTCTGTGCTGAAATTCAGCCCTTGTAGCCTTTGAGATACGGTAACTGAAATTAGTACACATAAATTATGTGCTAGGACTCATGTGTTTCACAGTGAAGGGAAGGAGCAAACCCTAAGCAGCAGAAACCACTCTTGGGCTTCCTGGCACTGGATTCAAGGATCAGACCCTGGCTCACTCCTTTTGTGGTATAAACAGATAGAAGAAGAAATAAAAAAAAGTGAGTGTCTAGCTCTGCTGTTCCCTGCTTCCTACAGAGAAAGCAATTGTGGAACCAAAGCATGACTCCCACATTGAGACTGAAGGAAGCTATCCAGTCACTTTATTCAGCAGCCTGTGCAACACGTGCTATCTCACTTTTGAGAAATGTACTTGGGATGAGGACAACCTTGTGGTGAATCTGGGATGAAAGCTTCTGGCTAAGAGCCCTTTAGAAGAACTGTATGATCCAAATATACCAAAAAGCACTTCTGTGATCTTTTGTTACAAGTTTTATTTGAACTCTGCTGATGAGTATTGTATCAGGACTCACTACAGCCAGCTTCTATAGAAGATTCTTGACCTGAAAACTTATTTTTCATCTTTCTAACTTCCCAGGAAGATTGGCTCATTTAATTTTCAGACAATGTTATAGGGGCAGTGGGAAGATGGCACTTATTTCCATTGCCTGGTGCATTAAATTAATGATGAAACCAATAAAAAATAACTTTTGTCCAATTTGTTCACTCTCAGCTGTACATTTCTACTACAGAATAATCTATTTAACATTCTTCTTGCACATACTACTCTGAAGCCAATATAGAGTTGGAATTCAGTTCACCAAGTCTTTGAGCCAAACATCTGCTTGGAATTAACATACACAGATTTTCGAAGTGAAATTTCTACTGATTATTTGTCAGCTTCATCTGTGTTATAGCTAGTTTTAGGAAGAATCCATTGGTAATAAATGCTTCTGAACAAGTGAATACAGTCTGAAAAAGTGATGTAATTTGTACTCTTAAAACCAAGGACTCAGTAAAATCTTTACTGCCTTTATATTTAGGCCTACATTCTCATGTAGTCAGGATGGTATGTTTAAGAGATTTAAATTAAAGATTACAATTTTTATTTTTTTTTCAAGCTCACAAACAAGGAAATGAGCTTTTTGTTATTAATGATGGAGCATTAACAGAAAATTTTTTGACAGAATTCTGACTTTTGAAAAGTACGTGATATTAAAAAAGCACATACTAAAACAGTGAGTTCTACAAGCAAATATTTTAGTTTTAAACCTGCAGTCAATTTTTAAGTAACCACAAAATATGTCAGAGCATATACCTAGACATGTATTGAAACCAGCTGACCTAAGCCTAGTACAGAAATGCAGAAATGGCAGAGAACACACTACCAGAACAGAAACTTTAATTTTGCACTTTTTGTGCTTTCATTAAAAAAATGCTATCAATAAAAGACAGCTATATGTACAGAATATCCTTCAATGGCTCTATAGTTCAATAAAAACAGCAATATTGTCTCTTCAAACAATATAAAAAGTAGTTTAAATCAAGGAAAGAACAAAAAGGAAGTTTTGGAAGAGCTGTTCTACATGCGTCTCCTGCTTGTTGCTTGCTACAGTAAGCAAAACTGAAACTAGTAGAACAAGCACAAAGCTCCAATTTGCCTGTCAGAAAGACTACTGCCATTAGAAATGTGTATACACAGTATAAACTGTGTATCAGTGTAATATTCAGAGCATTTCATGCTGGAGAAAGGCTACAAAGCTAAACCATTAAAAAAAACCCCAAAACAAAACAAACCACTTGGTGGCGTAATATGTCAGAAAGGATGGAAAGACTACAAATCACATACTGTCTGTTTGGGTACTGTAACCTCATTTGCTCTTCCCCATCCTTTTGCAAGGCAGAAAGATAGCTCCATTTTGAACACTGATTTTTCAGATGAATCTGCTTTTTCTTAACAGAACATCATTAAACTCTCTACCTGAACACAAGAACCTTCCATTTATTTATCTTATTAATCAAAAGCAAACAGTCTATTAAGGTGTAGTTACAACAGTTTTCACATTCATATACACCATGACCCTACCTTCAGGTAGATAATAAGATAGGCAATAATGAGGTAGCAGGAAGTAAGCTTATGTAGTTTATTGAAAGAAGGTTTGAATTTGGTAAGAAGTGGTGCTGAATTCTAAGAATTATTTTGTTCTTGTACAAAATCCAGGCTGACCTCCTTTTTCATAGATTTTTTTCCTAAAGCAATTATAATCAGACACAGCATCGTATGTAAATACAGAATTAAACACTAACTTGAACACACAGACAAACCTAAAAATTTCAGTACTACATTAATTATGAGAACTTGAATTTGTGACATTGTTGTATACTGAAAAACAGCAAGGTATAGAGACTCTAGAAGAGCTTGAATACCTTGTTTGTGAGTTAACTTTTCCTGTTTTGATACAGGAAACAGGTTTTTCTATGCTACAACAAAGGTCAAAATAGTGAAAAAATACTCTGAGAACTTTAACTGGCTATTCTTGTTACAGTTACCCCAGACACTGCTGAAAATAACAGCCATTTCCACAGTTTTGAAATGTTTGATTGCATTTCTAATACAGATACCCTACCTGTGTTGCCAATGATCTTGTAAAGAAAAGTCCTTGCTTCCGCCTTCTGACAGATTAAAGCACCTGGCTTAGGCCAAATGATTAAACTTCAACAGCAGTAGCTCATGTTTATCTAGCTACCAAGCACCCAACTCCCCTTTTTGTTCAATCATTCAAATGTAGAAAAAGTGATGTACTGCTCAGGACATGCTTGCAGTTCTTGTGTTTAAATCCATAAGAATGCAAGAAGGCTCCAAAACACATAAGCTATCACATATACAGTCATGTATTCCTTCCTTAATATAAATCTGGAAATATTAAAAGGCAAGCCAAATTGCTTTCATACTGTCTGTATTTAAAGAATGCATATTTAATTTTCTTTGATCTAGAAGAAGTTCTCTTGTTATGGTAAGCTTACAGCTCTAACAGCTAGTGTTTACAGGAAAGGATTAAATAACTGATTTTATAAAAGAATCCCCAAATAATCAGAAGTAATAATAATAAATAATAATAATAAGGTGTTTTCATCAGCTTCAGGAAATAAAAATCACCTAGACTAGTACCTTTAACATTTTTGTGCGCTTCTTATGCAATGTAATTCATGGCTTACAGAAAAAGCAGAGATATAAAATCTTGCTTGTGGAGGAAGCTCTACAAAAGAATCCAGATGTGCTAAAACCTGTAGTTACCTGCAGTATCAACTTAAGGTTAAGATCAACGTTCCAATCTTTCTAAGGCTATCCTTAATGGATAACAAATTGTTTTTCTAGGTATATGCAACCTTACTGACTTTGTTTGACAGGTACACTCTGTAGCAGACTGCTTTACAGAAATATTTTGCTTGAATGACTGTATTTCATAAGTTTGGCTACTAAAGGTTGTGTAGATGTTTGGTTTTTTTTTATTTCATGGTTGGACGACATGGATGTGCGTATTTTCTCTGAAATAAAAGAATCCTCTTAATTTTTATACATCAGTAAAAATACTGTAGAGCAAGAAAAACATAAACCTTACCTGCAACAAATAACAGCTTTACATGACAAAGCCAAATCCAGGAAATACTGTCTCACTCCAAATGTCAAAGCATACTTCAGAGATTTACCATCAATGATGAGAGCAAAATCATTTTCCTTCCTTAAAGCATCACCAAGAGTACTGCAATGATGGCTAAGTGTCTCTCTTGTTCCCTGTTGTACAAAAAAATCATGTCCATTATTTTTAATCTTTACTATTCTTTAGTCCAAATTAGTTTTTCAGTGTGATCAGAAACACTGGTATTTTCTTTTTTGATGAAACTGCCTTTTGATTACGCTATCAAATAAACAGTATCAAATGAAAGAAGTATTTCCAATAGCTGTACTATTAGAAACCAGAGTAGAAATGATAAGTAGGATTGTTCTTACACCCTATAAAAAAAATTATGTGTCTAAGTTGTGGTGGAACTTTTAATGCTCTTTGAATGGCTACAATAGTTGCATAAATGTTTACTAAAAGATATTAGTAAGTTTTCTATGGACCTATCCAAAATAAAATTCACATATATACAGATACCAGAAGAAATACTTTCTGTTCACTATTATAGAAAATGGTCCTAAATGTTTAGTAAAAAAATAAAACATCAAAGATAATTCATAATACAAATATATGCATTACAACTGATAATTCTAACCAACATATTAAGTTTTTCTTTTAAGATAAGCCTGCATCAACTACATATAAAGGACCATATTTTGTATTTTTCAGTTGCTAAGGAGAGTTTGAATCACATCTACACAAGTCACTATTCTGTGATCTTCAGTTCTTACTGAGAACTTCAGATTATATTTACTAGATTGGGGAGGTCACTAGTATCTAGTTACTTATAGTACTTATAGTGCCTATTTTGCCTACTTTGGGTAGGGTTACAGAACACTGGAACAGGCTACCCAGGGAGGGTGTGGAGTCTCCTTCTCTGGAGACATTCAAGACCCGCCTGGACGCCTTCCTGTGTAAAATTGTTTAGGTTCCTGCTCCGGCAGGGGGATTGGACTAGATGATCTTTCGAGGTTCCTTCCAATCCCCAACATTCTGTGATTCTGTGATACTTTGCTCCCACTGCCCTTTTAAAGATTCACTGGTTTATCTAAAAAGAGACACACTGTTGGGGAATCCTGCACTTCAGATTTCCTGGCTCTCCCTGCATAGAAACTGCAAGGGAAACAAGGTGCCACAGTTTAAAGTTACATTTTAGAAAGTATTTAAAATTACAGTGACTTCTTTAACTATTTTCCAGAGCATCTTTTCTGATTAAGAAATACTGCAACGTTATGAAAGTATCAATTTTTCTCATCTTCATGAACTATTTAGCTTCTGACTAAATTTAAGCAATACAAGAACCTGAAACTTCATATTCCTCTCATCTATTGTTTCTTCTCATACATGCAGCATAAACTCTTCAGTTTAAACAGACTTTAATTTTTTATCACAAACAGACGTGCCATCAGGTAGCTCCAGGCATGCTGCATATTAAAACAAACAAAGAAAACCCCCAGGATAATACAAAACACTTACCCCAACTGCAAAACTGACATATTTAAAATTCCTTTGTAGGCTTACATGTAGTTCTATGCTGAAATCCACTGCCTTAAATTAAAAGGTATCAATCACCTTGAGGGACATAATTCTGTCCCTCTACTCCACTCTTGTGAGACCGCACCTGGAGTACTGCATCCAGTTCTAGGGCCCCCAACACAAGAAGGACATGGACTGACTGGAACAAGTCCAGAAGGAGGGCCATGAGGATGATCTGAGGGCTGGAGCACCTCTCCTATGAGGACAGGCTGACAGAGTTGGGGCTGTTGAGCCTGGAGACGACTCCAGGGAGACCTTACAGTAGCCTTCCAGTACCTGAAGGAGACCTACAGAAATGCTGGGGAGGGACTTTCTACAAGGGCAGTTAATGATAGAACAAAGTATAATGGCTTTAAACTGGAAGAGGGTAGATTTAGATTAGATATTAGGAAGAAATTCTTCACTGTGAGGTTGGTCAGACACTGGCAAAGGTTGCCCAGAGAAGTTGTGGATGCCCCCTCCCTGGAAGTGTTCAAGGCCAGGTTGGATGAGGCTTTGAGCATGATGATCTTTAAGGTCCCTTCCAACCCTAACCATTCTATTTTATGAAAAGCAGTATCAAAACATCCCTTATTCACTTCTACAGCACTTCCATTAAATATTTCCCAGTGAAATTTAATGGTAATCAAACTATTTTCTAGTTTCAGTTTAGGTATTAAGTTCATAATTAATAGAACAAAGCTGTGCTATGATTTCTGTCTATGATTACCAGTACTATACTGAAATTTAGCAGTCCATTAGGTTAATATGAAGGCAAAATAAAATAACAGAATCACAGAATGGTATGGGTTGGAAGGGACCTTAAAGACCATCTAGTTCCAACCCCCCTGCCATGAGCAGGGACACCCCCCACTAGATCAGGTTGCTCAAAGCCTCATCCAACCTGGATATAGTGTTCTTTTATGCAACTACAGGAACTTACTAACAAAACCACGTTTTGTTTGTGAAGCTAAGCAGATGTTTATGGGAGTGGAGCCTCAAAACAAATTATGTTGCAAAAAAGATATCTAAATCCTTCCTGGAAGTCTTTCCAGTTCTATACCAGACAATGCTAACTGGGTAAAGGGGTTTGGGGTATTTTTCTTTTAATTCCATAAATAAGGGTACTGGTTCATACAAAAGAGGATCTCTTATTTCAGTATATTCTTTGTAAAAATAGTTCACAGAGCTGGCATACAGTCTAAAAAAAAATATTTTTTTATTTTTTTTTTACTCTTAACTTCCTCTGTCTTGCATGCTAAGGTCATAATAATGACCAAATTGAGGAGGTATTTGTTTTGTTAAATCTGTTTTACATGTCTTAGGGAGAGTGGACTCTGCCTGTCCCTAAAAGGATTAGAGTTGAGCTAGCTGCTGTTTAAAAGCTGCCACTGGTGTGCAACAGACACTGTACTATTTTAACAGCAAGGGTGAGAAGCACCACTTGCCGCCACTCTTTTTTCAGTACTGTGAAGTGTATGCAGATCAAGAGAAGCCAACCCTTCCTACCTCCTATGAACATACCAACATCTTTATAGAGCCAAGAGGCTATACCCACACCTTGCAGAGCCAAGGAAGAGAAGACTCTCCCAGAGCAACTCTTCTCAAAGATGCTAAATACACAGGTTCCACTATCCTGGCTTTTGTTTCTTCACGGTTTCATGGATGCTCAGTTCTGCCTGTGCTGAGAAAACTGGGTTGTCCAGCAACCCACATGGGAACACAGTTCCTCTGGTACATAAGGGACAGAATACCAGTACGAGAGGTGAATCAATGCTGCTCAAAAGCCAAAGTTTCAGCCACATTCCTTAGCACACAATATCCCAACTAAGTATTATGGCCTCTTGCCAGCTGTTGTTGGTATGCAGAAAGGAAAGAGACATTGCATCCACCCTTGCAGCTGCACTGACTCAAGATTCTGCAATCACAGCAGTCCACCCTTCTCTCCCATTTCCTGAGTCCCACTCCGCTCCTCCATCAGGATTTTCAAGACTATTTTTAACTCAAACAGGTGCACTTGAAATGGAAACTGACATCTGCTTCCAACCACACCAGCAAGCAAAAGGTAGGACACAAAGTACACATTAATCAGAGTGAAACATGCACCATCAAATGAGGCAGAAAACTTTTAATGGTGTCTCTTGTTAAAGTATCGGCACAGAGCTACTTTATTATGATTTTTTGAACTGCTTCTTTCCCTCACCTATCCAATTACTACATTTATCAGCTCCCAAAAACCCCATGATTTATGTTATCACCACAGACAAAGTTGCAACCAACCAGTCTGCGTATGCAATTTCAGTTGCCATAGGATACCTGTGTCCCCATATACTCTGTACTTCGTGCATGTAGGG